GGATCGTGCTCATACGTTTGTCAGCAGTGTATCGTTTCTTACCGAACTGGCGTAATGACCCAGTCCGTCCATACTTGCCCCTGTGGCGGTCTGCCAGGGGATATTTCCTTAGCCAGCCAAGGCCGCTTGGGCCTTCTCCATTCCCTCCTCGATGGTGCTTCGCACCACGAGCTCAGTCAGCTTCTCTCCTCTCCTTTGTTAATTAACGAGTAACTGTACTCTCTCTCACGCTCTCCGGGGTCATACAGACTAGTTTCCTCCTCAAATATCCGTCCACATGGGCGGTAGGGTGTGAGACATGTGTTGGTATGCCTCTACGGCTTATGCGCAGTAGGCACAGATAGACAACATCAGGGCTTCGGGTAGTGTGCTGGAGTGTGCCCCCTATCCGTGTTGAGTCGCGGCTGCCCTCCGCACGTAGCACCGCGCTCCGGCTAATCCTCGGCAAGGCAACTTACGGAAGGTCCATCAGACAGACAGGCCGAAGGCCCACCTGCCAGACGGAAGGAGGGGAGCCATCTTGGGGGATTACTCACACTTCATGGCGCCCTGTGCCTCAGGCTTATTGGGGTGGCCCCTCTCTCCGGGCAGGGAATCAGTTGATGTGCCTTGAGGCGAGTAAGAAGTGGTGGTGAGACGCGGACCTCACCACTCACACGGGATCGGTGACCTCCTACAGAAGTGGTCGACTGGATAGGCTTGCAGCGTATAGGAGTGAAGGCTACAGACGACCAAAGGTCTGGGAGTGGCCAGAAACACTGAAAATACGCTAAGTAGGGAAAAGTTCGCAAACTCAATATTTTGTGACTTCGGGATGAAGCAAAATGGCAGGAATATTGGGCCAGTGGCCAATTGGAGCGCCAGGTCTCGCTCCGGAGCCATTCGCCTCTCGCTCGGGAGCGAGAGGCCTCTCGCTCCGGAGCGCGGGGATCCGTTTGACGAATCTCTAACTCCGATTCTCGACTGGGGGAAAATAGGTAACCCCCTCCCCCTTCTTTCTCCAGGTTTTGAAAACGGTGCTACCGACATGGTGTGCTGAGAATCGTGTGGGCAATGGATGCAATTTTTTCCACGGGTTTTTTGAAAAAGCTAGCATAGCTCGCGTCAAACGACTCCGTCTAGTGATCCGTGTAATGGTC